GAGTTGTTTAAGCCAATAAAATGATTTTTTAAAAAGGTGGGTTTTCTTTTGGACTATTTTACCAAAATAAAGGATTTTGCCCATTAAAGGGACAAATGGTGCGTGTCTGTTTATATTTAACAACTTTTGCAGTAGACAACAAGGAAGCAACTGCAGCTGCCTGGAGATGTCACAAGTAGTCACAGAGCTACACTTCCTTCTGGGTCATTTTCTGGGGTACTTTTCCCATAATTCTCTCAGACACAGCAAGGCAATTCCTGTGCTGGCTGTGGAGAAGAAGCCGCTCAGGCACGTGCCCTGAACACAATACACTGCCCAGTTCCCTCACCTGGTCTGTAAGGACCAGGCACTCACGTTTTCTCGTATTCTAAGGACACATAAATCCAGTTGTCTCTTGCCACTTGAGCCTTCCTTCAGAAGGCAGTCTCCTTGCCTCAGGACCCAACCATGCTGGTGGTGGTGGTGTGGGGTTTGAGAAAACTCAACCATGCTCATTCAAAATCCACACGATGGTCCAAAACCCACCGCCACTGAGGCAATTCTGACTCATAGTACAATTCTGACACGGTAGGACAGCGGAGAGTGGCCTTAGTGGGTTTCAGGAAGCCTCATCTTTCATCTACAGAGGCGCTGGTGGGTTTCAACTGCTGACCTTGTAGCATGCAAGCCAACGTACCTCCCTGCCCCCCACAAAATGTGCACAAAGGTCCCCCCACCTTGGGTATAATGAGCAACGCGTCAGCAAATGCTTGGACTCCAAGCTGGGCCCTGCCCTTGATGCTGGGCTTGTGCTTCATTAGAGCCTCTGCCATGGCCACTTCCACGGCACCAGCCCCAGGAACCACGCAGCCTAGAGAGCAGGGGGACGAGCAATGTTACGTGACATGGTAAAGAACACTGGGGAATCGATCATGAGAGCGGAGAAAGCACCTGTAGATCAACGCACACCTCAGAGCAGTGGTTCTCAACCCTCCTCACGCCGCGACCCTTTCACACAGTCCCTCATGTGGTGGTGACCCCCACAAGCCATAAAATTATTTTCCTTGCTACTTCATCACTGT